ATAGTTTGTCAGTCCCCCATCTAGTCTAAATAATTCAGAGGACTGTGGAGAGTGAAGGGTAGGGGCAAGCAGAGTGTGTATGGTTTGAAATGCACTGGTTACTGGATGCTTACTGGGAAGTTTGCCCTTGGGGGGACTTGGATTTCCCCTACAGTGTGGTGGGATGCAAAGTGCAGGTGTGACCCTTTTATGGGTCATCCGGGCCTTGGATATAGAGAGATCATCTCCTTAGAGACCCTAGCGTAAGCCGTCTGTGGTCTCCTAGATTTTATGTATGGCTTGAAGAAAATGTGAGTGTACTGTGTGGAACCCAAGTTCAAACATCCCAGGGCCACCCTATCCACATTACTGTGGAAACTCCACAACCTCTTGCTGAATTTAGTGTCCAGAGAGCTGGTTTCACTTATGAAAACAATAGTAATGCCCATAGGCACCCTTTATCAAGCACCTTGTATGGGTCTGGTGTTAAGTCCTTTACTTAACCAGGAGCTGACATTTATTGAGCACTTGCTCGTGCCAGGCCAGGCGCTCCGTGTCATATCCGTTATCTCATGAATTTCTCACCCTACCACACAATGCAAGCACTGCCGTTCTCCCCTCTTACCCAGGAGGAAATAGGGCTCAGAGAGGGAAAGCAATGTGCTCAAGGTCAAAGTTGCTCAAGTCTGAGTCTATAGTCTCTGCCGTGTTCTGCATTCGATGTGACCCACTCAGTGCCAGCTGCCTGCCTCAGGGGAGTTGACCCAGTCTCTTACGGTGACTCAAGTATCCCAGATTCTGCCCACATTTATCCTGCTGGAGGCAATGACTTTATTCAAAGTTTGTACGAAATTCTACCTTTGAAACATTGGAGGGGAAGAGAAAACATAATCCCAACTCACAAATTGAGGGCTTGGTTAGAACATGTCACACTTACTGAAAAGCAAATGGTGTTGATATTTTTTTAAACAACATTCTCCCATCATTTTCTGCCTTAATTGCTTGTTAAACCTAATTAATATCTATAAGGCAACCAACCCTTCTAGGCAAGATAGAAGCAGGATAGATACATGGCTGACAAATCAGCATGTAGAATGTAGCCCAAAATTGAAGGTGACTATCCCATGCCTGCAACTTTAGCCTAATTCAAACCTTCACTCACATAGTAAGTCTTTGTTAAAAGGCAGCCTCAGCCTGCTTTTCATTTAGTCACATTACAACAGAAATGCCTTATAGCTAGTATCTTCATTATTCATGGTTCTTGGCAAATTAAGGCACTTGTCTCTTCAGTATCTATAAGCAGAGAAAGGCTTTAATTCCAAAGAAACGATGCTCTGTGAGCCAGGCAATGATATTATTGACAGATTCCTTATGAATAGGTGGGAGATCTTACTTCACTTATAGTATATGAATAAACAAAACCCCCCAGGGGACGGCCAGGTATTTCATGTAATGGATATCTCCCACCCCACCCTTATTTTTCTCTAGAGTGATTGAGGTCTGGATTTCCTTACCAGCAAGACTATTCAGACTAGAAGCATGAAAAATGACACCTTTTATCATCAATATGATAGAAAAAATTGGGGTTCAATAAAATATGTAACTCTGTGGTATGTGTTTCCAGTTTGTATGCCAGGAAGCTGGGCAGTACAATGGGACATTCACCTCTCCAGTTTATTTATTTGTTTGTTTATTTATTTATTTAGCCGAGCCATCCTGCCACCTGTTGGCAGCTTAGCGGCAGCTCAGCTCGGGCCGGGCATTGAACCGCTGTTGCTCAGAGCTCACACTCTTGAGCGAACTCTTAGCCGACTGAACCACTCGGCCGTCCCTTTCCTCTCCAGGTTAGAATTCATAATTATGGGATAGCAACATGGGTTTCCTAATGATGGGTCTCCACCTCCTTAACTCAAATTATTATGGCAAAATACTTACAAATGTGTTTGTGCATCAGTCTTTATACTTACCTTGAAAAATAACCAATTATTTTATTTAAAGAGCTCTAGATTTATTCTGATAATGCAGGTGCAGTGGACGCTGCTGATTGTATTTTAACGAAGCATTGACCCTCCGTTGCTGTTTAGCAACTATGTGTTCTGGAGGGGCCAAGCTTATTCCCAGCTTCAGAAATAAGTCTGCTCTTCCATGAGCCTAAACCCATCATTATAATATTTCTCAACGTTTTTATTTATTATCACCCCCTTAAGAAGCCTTTTAAGATATTTTTTGTTAGCTAGACCCCCTCATATTCTAATGCCACAGATATACTGAATATCTGTTTATGTATTGCATATCTGTGCTTTATACACAAAAAGAGTATTTTTTTTGACCTCCTTCTACCCTCAGGAAACTATTTTTGCCTCTTGGGGGCCATATCATTCCCACCAAGAATGCATGTATTATAATCCCATTCCTTGTGCCAATCAGTGCATGACATTGGGGGTGGGCACAGACCCTAAGCTGACACATCAGAGTGCAAACTGGACAGTTTTTTGATAGTTGGTGGGTATGAGAAATTTTCTATCTGGATGGGTTGATATGTGTATCTAAGCTCTGGAACTGCTGTGCCTTTCTGCTATCATAAGAAAAGAAATAAGCTGATGATAAAGCCAACACACGAATAAGACAGGGCTGACAGAATCATGGGGCACAAGCATGGTGCCCTGATCAAACCATACCTGAATCTCATTCTGCTGCTAGCTTTTCAGTGTGTCAAAGAAGTCCCTTGTTTTTATTCTGTAGGTTAGTTTGAGTTGGGTTTCCTATTATAATTAAAACAAAACAAAACACTAAAAACCTAACTGACAAAATAGGTAACATTTATTGAATGCTTCCTGAACTCTAGGCACTGTGCTAAATATCTTATATGTTAATTAATTCTCTTAGCAATCTCTGTAATTAGTATTATTACATTTCCCATTTTATAAATAATGAAACTGAAACATAATAAGATTAAGTAACTTACCCATAGTCATTCATAGGCAGAGGTGGGATTCACTCCTACGTCTTTTTAACTCAGAACTAAAGGTATTAACCAGTTCATTTTACTGCCTTTCAGTTCTGTACAATTTAAGTCACTACCTTCTTGCTCAATATTTCAAAGGTGTTGGAGAAAATGGTGTTTCGTTGCTAACAATTCTGTGCTGTGCAATAAAGGAACCTATGGTGCTCCCAAAGTTTTAAAATATTTTAAAATCTTATTTCTCCAAAGACACAGGAAATTTTAAACTTAGAGGTCATTTTGTACTTATGACTCAATCCTCATAAAATGGCCGTCATTATTTTAGATGTTCTTTCTTATCAATATGAGAGGGTTCTGGCTCAGTCACTATTCATTTTACAAAAGAGAAAACCTATAGTTTAGTAGGTTAATCCTTCAAGTTGCTGTTCTGCATAAAAATAATTATTGATCAACCTTATAAAGAACCCATGATGTCGCAGGTTTCTTGAAACTTCATTTTTGAGATGGTCACTAAGAGTAGAACAGATAATCCATAAGTCTCCTGAATCCTTGGGGAGAGAGGCATGGAGGCTGTTTGGCTGGCTACCATACTCGAGTTCTCTTTTTGAAAGTTTCTCAAACATTAAAAAGCAAAAGCAAAACTATATCAAGTTCACTTCTCCTGCAACCCAAACTGAATAATGATTTCCCAAAACAGAAAAAGGCCAAGAGGCAGACACACACCTCTGGCTCCAAAAAGCCAGATGATCTGTGTAATACAGCCAGATGGGGTATATCCACAGTTCCATAGCACTCTCAACCCCACAGGCTGCCCAGTTATCAACCTGGCTTTTGAATTTTTTCAAAAATACAAGACATTGCAGACATGTTATCCAAAGCAGGAGTGTGAAAGCAAAGTAAAATGTCCCTCACATTTTAACAAGGATGACACAGATGTCAAGTATGACAGGGGGTGCTGATTCTTTAGACGCCCACAGTTTTGCTTCAGTGCTGGTCTTTTCATTTTGCTTGATGGATGGAAGACTACGGCTTGTCAAAGCCAGGGGCCTGATCACATATAAGACTGAGCACAGTAAGATGTAAATTATAGCCATACTAGGAATGGGGTCAGGGTAGGGGGAGGCTAGAAACAGCAACAAAGCTATTCCATATCACAGGGAAAAAAAAGTGTGATGCTATATTCCTGTAGTGAACACCAGGTATAATCTGCTTAAAGGCTATGTACATTTTTGAAAACCTTAAAGATATTAACAACCAAAACACAGGACTTTTAAATCCACAAATGACTGTTTAAAAACAAAAAAACGAACAAAAAACCCCAGGGAAGCTGTAGTCCCAGAGAGGATGTACCATCTCCTAGTTGCACAAAGTTGCTGCATTTTTCCCTGCAGGATGGGACCTAGCAGAGAAATAAAGAGTCTGTGTTGTGTGACAGGGAGTAAATCCAAATGTAAGCATTTCAGTGTTCAGCCAGGCCACCCCTCCCTTCCCCGGCCCATCATCCTCCTGCAAAGTGTTCACAATTTGCTGTCCTTTTTTCCAAAAGCTAGTAGACACAGAATCAGGTTTTCCTGGCTCTGCCTAGCAGGTTGGGGCTGCCATATGGAAAAGTGAAATAAAATCAAAGGGAAGAATGCAAATCCATTAATACCCCTCTGACTAAACTGCTGTGAAATCATTGCTCCTGAAATGCTCATTTCAACCCCCAATGAAATAAAAAAGAAATCATTTGAATGTCAAGGTTACTTCCTGCAGACCCTCTGCTGGAAAGCTTCAGCTTTCTTAGCTGAGCGCCACCCAGGACACCATCACTCCACAACAGATGTCTGCCAATGCTGGTGACTAATTCGCAAGTGCCCCCCATGTCCAGTGGGAAACATTCGCAAGCTTTATCAGGCAGTTACCTACAGCATTTGACCCAAGAGTAAAGCAGCCCGCTAGGAGTTTAAACAGAGAGAGGTGGAGGGAGGGAGAGAATAAAATCATACAGGTGGAACTGGCTTCCCACGAGCGCCAGGCATCCTGCAAGGGCCCTCGGGTGCCGCGTGCCCTCTCTTACCTGGTACACGTCTCGCAGTCCGCACCAAGTCCGCAGCACCTGGTGACAAGCCCGCAGCCTCTCCGTGTACCATCTCCGCAGCGTGGACACGGTCAAGTTCCACACGAAGCGGCTGCCGCTGAACAGCAAGTCCTCCACTCCACACGTGAACACAGAAGCCATGCCTCCTCCTTCCCTTGGAACCCGGGGATGCCCGGCTCCCGCAGCTGCCGCCCCGAGAGCGGACCCCAGCAGCCCCACCGCTTGGGCTCCTGATGCGGGCTTCTGCTGGGCGCCGGGGTCAAGCCACCACTAAACCAGTCTTTCACCGTGCGTGCTGGTCGGGCTTCCGCGGCATGCCCCAGGGTTGGGCGCCAGCCAACCAACGGCTGCGGCTGGCACACAGAAGCCCAGTGTCCACCTCCGCCCTCTCGCTGGCAGCGCCGAGCAGGCTGCGCTAAGCTCCGCCAGGCGAGCCCTCGGCACTCCCGGGGTACGGGAAGCCCTGGCCGGCGAGGACTCCCCCTGGCGCTCCCTGAGTGCGCTGGGCAGGGGGGGCAGTGGAGCAACTCTTTGCAGGCAAAGAGGAGAGCTGCATTTCAGCGCACTTGGCCTGCACGTCCTGCACACACACACACACACACACACACACACACACACACACACACGCAGGCGCGTGCGCTCGCACACCAGCCCGAGTCTCCTAATCTGCTTTGGGGAGCACCTTACTTTACATTATAGGGTCTTTGCCTGGCATCTTGCTGTGTCCCCACTGATAAATATCCCTGGGCAACCGCAAATGCAGGAGGAAAAATAATCCTCTAGCATCCCTTTGGACCCCACTCCTAGGGGAACAGCCCTGAATGTTTCCTTGGTTGTGCTGGAGCCAGGAGATGAAGACACCAGTCTCAAAGCAACAGTGTGTGCGTGGCACCAGAATCCGCCTTCGGTACGAACTTGAAGGTCTCGGAAAAAATGACAACCTGCCTGTCGTTGCCAGCCAGGCGGCGGGTTCCCGCACCTCTCGCACTGTGTTAATTCCAGTGCAGCTGTCAGTTCAGGAGGAACACATACAGGGCTCTTGGTCTCTAGCAGATCACTTGCTTCCAGTTAGTATTTGCCGGGAAATGGAAGCTCACAGGAGAACCTTTGGTTCCATTCTGGACATGCCTAGCAGCAGCTGCCAGAACTAACCTGTACAGGTAGTTCATTTTGGACTTAACACTCAAGGAAACTCTTCCTCCACTCACGAAGTCACCAGATAATTAATTAATGTTTGTTTTTTAAGTTCTCCCCCACAAATAATACCACCTAAGATGTTTGGAAATGAGCGCCCAAAAATTCTGTCCCACACACTACTAGTCTCTATTTTCCTTCAGAATATGTGTAGCTTTGAGTCCCATATACTACTGTAACATTTCTCAGAGCAAAAGCACTGCGGCCAATTTTAGGGTGCTGTTTTTTTCCTGAATCCTATGTAAGACAATCGCCTGTATTTTACTGGCAGTTTCACACCTGGGCTGTTATCTTTGCTATTAAGTGGCAGAAAGGTAAGGCGCCAAAGCTTTTCTCCTGAAGGCTTCAGAACAGATTATCGACAAGTCAATCAGCTTTATTTCAGGTTTCAAATGTGCCGTTGAAATCTTAATTCAGGTGAAACTCAATCAGTCCAAAGAACACAAAAATCTGTCCTCAAAGTGTCTGTTGTTTTCAAAGTGACTATAACCAGGAAACTTAAATGACATTTCTTCTTTTACTACTTTTTGCTTCTGTTTATTACTAATAAAATTCCCTAGGAGTCATTGTTGAATTTTAATAGGACACAAGATCTGATCCAAGATCTGCAAGCCTTTCTTCATAGTAAATCAGCTCTATGTGCTTATTAGTATTAGCATTCTGATGATATTCTCCAAGATAACAGTCACAGTGTTTAGACAGAATCAGAATACACAAGGTCTTATTGAATGAAAATAAACTAAACTAAGTATAGTTTGAAAAACAAATGTCATACTTCTAATGGAAAATTACTGAACTTCAAAAATGGCCTATTTGTACAAGTGAACGGTGGTGGTACATTCTTTTATTTTTTTTAATGATGCAGGACACCTGTGTTCTCGGAAATCCAAGGGAATACCAGAATAAAACCTACAACAGGTGAATTATCTCTGTCTCATGGCACCATCCTCTCTCAGAAGAGGTGCTCTAGAAACACGACGGCTGTTACCTGCACCTGTGCAGATCTAACATCAGTGGTCAATTTCGACCTTGGTCATCGTCATTCTAAGTTTCCAAAGTTGGTGCTTACATGATTTTCTAGGAAATGGGATGTGGTATGATATGGATTCTCAAAGTGTGGTCCTTGAACCAGCAGCATCACTTGGAAACTTGTTAGAGATGCAAGTTCTCAGGCTGCTCCAGAATCAGAAATGAGGGCGTGAGGTCGGGGCTCTGAGTTCTCATGCAGCCTCTGGGGGTTTCTATTCATGCTAGAGTTGGAGACCCTCTGGTGTAGGCACAGGAATTAGGAGCTAAGTCTCCTAAGAGAGACACACCTAACTTAAGTCCCTGCTCCTTACTATCTGTGGAGCCTTGTGCAAAGCTCTCTAATCCCACAAAGCCTCCATGTCCTCATCTATAAAATGGTAATGATACCAGAATTCATTACGTAGGGTTTGGGGTATGATTAAGTAAAATATTCTGTATAAAGTTTTTGTATAGTGGGTGGCAAAGGGTAAACACCCAAAGAAAACAAACTACCACCACCAATGAACTTAGGAATTGTTTCATTTTTTTGTAGTCCCATAAAACAGTATAAATAAAATGGCTTTTTTTAAAACACATTTTTAAATTATCTACATCTGCTTTCCTACCCCTTTCTGTGTGTTGGTTGTTAAAGTCGGTGATGACTTATTTTGGGGAATAGTTCTGCCACTCTTGTTCAAGTTCCCAAAAAGCTTTTTGAAACCCTGTCTTCCCCACTATAGCCAACCTTTGCTAGGGACTCAGAGAAGTAGTGTATGCTCAAAGCTGGATGCAAGGAAAAGACATCTCATTCACACCGCTGTCACACTGATGCTTCTTCTTATCCAAGCAGCTTTCTTCTCCTGTAGGAGAAGCTCAAAGCTCTAGGGTAAGTGGGATTTTAGAGGGAAGGGAGTGCAAGTTCTTGCACACCAGGGACTGACAGTGGGTGGCAACTGCACCCAGATGTGTAGCAGTGGAGAAAAGCGCGACCCGACTGTGACATCACGCTTAAAATGGACTAGTCACGTGGGACATTCCAGATCCCAGACACACGCCCTTGAGGCTGGTCTAAAATTTCCTGTGGAAAGGGAGCTAAATCAAGCTAGCTTCAGAATTATCTTGCTTCTTTTTTTTTTTTTACTTTCAGAAGAGAATTTTCTTTTCTCTCCAGCATCAGAGTTCCTGCAACACATTGTAATTTCCTGCAGCTTTCTCCAGAGGCTTAAAAAGGTGCTTCAGGTGACAACATTACTCATACACCTGGGAGGTCTGCTACAGATGCAAAACTCGTGATTATCCCTGAGGATCCTGGGGGTTCTCCTTTGAGCAATCAGCGGGAAGAGGAGCGCAATGCCAGGAAGACAGCACAAACGCCAAACCCTGTCTCTGGAGAGAGATGGCAGGTTGGTCACAAGCAGCTTCCGGTGGTCCTCACTGACTTTCAGAAAGACAGAGTCCACCTAATGCCTGTGGACAGTTTTTAACTGTACTCTACACAACTGAAAAGCTAGTGTGGCTAAATTCTGATAGGCCATGAATGTTTGACATAGGGCTTGAGGGAGATGAAAACAAAGTCTAGTTCAATGACTCGCAATCAGGGGCAAGTTTGTGCACACACACACACACACACACACACACACACACACACACACACACACCCGGGACATTTGGCAATGTCTGAAGATATTTTTGGATGTCACGACTTGGGGGTGCTACTGGCACCTCATGGGGAGAGGCCAGGGATGCTGTTCAACATCCTACAATGTCCAGGCCTGACAAAGAATCATTCTTCCCTAAATGTCAGCGGTGCAAAGATGGAGGAAACCTGGTCTAGTTAAACACTACTCTGCTCTTTCTCTCACAAGACTTTTGTTGTGGGGAAACATTCTTCCCTCTTGCTATTTTCTCCCCAAGAGGCAAATTGGGAAAGAAATGCAACAATCACTTGATAATAGCTTTCATATACTCAGCAAAGAGTGTACACTCAACGCCTTTTGAGAAGGAACTGAAATGCCACTGCCATTATTTTCACTTACCTTTTTTGGATCTTTATCATAACAATTAGGATAGCCATTTTCATCATAAGCTATTTATAGTTTGTTACTTTAACTTCTGGCTTTGTCATTTCATTTAAAGTAGAGGCTCCCTAGTAGGGGTAAAGCTTTTCTCAGCCACACTGAAAAAAGGTTGTCCCACACCGACCCCAGGTGGAATGCTGATACTTCCACTGGCCCATGCACTGCTGGGAAGTCTCTCATCGCACACATGGCAGGGTGCTGCCCGTCAGTGCACCTTTCTCTGTTGGACTGTAAGCTCTGTGAGGAGCTCTAACAGGTGAGTTGGAGGCTGGAGTGGTCCCTCCTTGTGCAGGAGTACCCCACACATTGGAGAACGGTTAGTGACCTTAGGATCTTCCCACTACATGCCAGCAGTGCCCCAGTGAGTATGACAGCAACAACAAAAAGCACCTCTACATGTTTCTGAATGTCCCTAGATGGGTGATAGCCACCCCCATTCAGAAACTGGCAGAAGCAGGGACAGGGCCTTATTCATAATTGTTTCTTCAGCGACTGGCACACAGCAGGCAATCAATAAATGTTTATTGAGCAGGCAAATGAATGACTCTTTGTCTCAACAGTGAATACAGAAAGAAGTTCATCCATTTCCAAAATACATGCTCTCGTTCATTAAAAAATTATGTATTGAGTTGTTACTACATGTCAGGCAGGGAGCTAAGTACTTAGAATGCATGTGACAAAACAGATGATCTCTGTCTAAGTGGATCTTGGACGAGAATAGAGAAGGCAGACGTTTGAACAAGTAATGTAAAGGGGCAGGCACAGCCACATGGGGTTCTAACAGAGGCACGTAATGCAGGGTGTGGGGAACAGGGCCAGAAACGCCTCCCTGAGGGTGTGACAGTGCAGCTGAGACCTGAAGGCTGAGTGGGGAGAGCTAGGGGATGGGCGAGGGGCAACACAAACAGCAGTCCTGGGCAAACGAGCTGTGAGGACTACGGCTCAATGGCAGGAGGGGTCCCAGGTTTGTGGAACTTGAGGGAAAAGCACAGGAGGGGATGTTTCAGAGGTAAGGAGGTCAGGGGAGCCCACCTGGGAGGCAGCTGCACAGTTCCAGGGTGAGAAGACAGGGCTTCAGGTAGGATTGTGGGCATGTCTACACAACTAAGCTGAAGGAGTCAACATGGGACCATGGGGTCTTCACACACAGAGGGGGGTGAAAGTTCAGTGGGCAAAGGTGCCCCTTTCAAAGCAAGCACTTCTGGTGGTCTCTGGGAGGGCTGCCCAACTGTGCAGAGGCAGG